CCCCTAGCTGCAACCCCAGAGACCTGGGCAGCCGGCATTTCCTCTGCCCCACAGTCACATGGGCTGGGCCACCCCTGAAGCAGCTGTTTAGCCGAGGGGGCACTAACCCTGCCTGTCTGAGGACCACCCCTGCCTGGCACTGGGTGGAGCAGACAGCAGCTGCCCTTCTGGTCATGGGCATGCAGGTCCCGGCCTGGCTGATCAGACACAAGGAGCACTACAGGAGGGTACCTGTGGGCTCTGTAGCCTGGGCAGGTGCTGGCTGCGCCCTGCCATCCCGGCTTAGTTTGAGCTTTCTGAGCAGAAGCTTCTGGCAGGGCAGCCCTTGTCCTGGGACGGGGAGGTGGCCTCTAGTTCTCAGGGTTGTTGGCAGTCATGCCGTCCCCGGGGGCCAAGCTGGGCAGAGGCATAGGGGACTCTATTGTAAGGTCCCTGGAATAGATGTGTTGGATTCATGTTGTTTGTGATGTTCACAATGATTGATACAGACGGGTTTGTTGTATTGGTTTATTCTAGTGATATGAATAATGTCAGAGCCATGAGAGCTGCCCCGTTAGGAATAGGGTGGCGGCACGGTGAGCTACTGCTGGGCTAGGGGGGGCACAGCGGGCAGCAGCTGCAAGGGGAGCCTGGCCTGGAGCCGGGCAGCAGGATGGCTCTGTCTGCAAGAAGCTGCTAAAGCAAAAGGTTTGGATGGCAGAATAAGCAGTGTTCTCTTGGAAAAGCCGGGGGGTGGGGGGAGGAGGATCGGGTAATAACCGTGACCAGCTACCGACTCTGCCCCTCCTGCCATCTCTAGATCCCAGCGTGGCTAACGTCACCTTGACGAGACTGACTCTGCTGTGTGACCAGGCTCCAGGGCCCATCACCATGGACTTAACAGGTGAGCAGGGCCAGCCCAGCACGCCCCCTGGCAGGGGCAAGGATGTGGGGGGAGCAGCTAAATAAGCCGGCAGCCACTCGCAGGCTAACCCCCCCGGTCCCGTGGGAGATTCTGCCCTCAGGGGAGGTGTGGGGAGAGGGAGGAGACGGGCCCCATTCGCCCTCAGTCCATCCTTGCTCCTAGGTGTTGGAATCCCAAGGGGACGCTGTCCATGCCCAAGTGTCTGGGGAGGGGCTGGCTCTGGGCCCTGGTGGAAGGGGGACAGGGACAGGCAGGCTGACAGCTCTCCTCTCGCTGGTGCAGGGAATCTGGAGGCGCTGAAGAGCCAGTCGTTTGTGCTGAAGGAAGGGGTGGATTACAGAGTGAAGATCTCGTTCAAGGTGAGCTGATCCTGCAGCTGGCAGCATGGACCCTGGCTGGGCCTGATGCACTCGCTTGCTGCATGCGGGTCAATGAGCACCGTCTCCTCTGGCAGAACAACTGGTCATGACTGACACTGCCTGGCACTTGGCTGGTGGCACTCTCTGGAATGTGCCCTGCTGCCTGTGCTCCATGGTGACGCCGGTCAGTGCAGCCTGTGATGGGGGATGCCCGGTGCAGTGACGCTGCTGGGTGCGCGCTCTTCTCACTGTGCTGCGGACTGCGTGCCGCTCTCCTGCATGAGAGCCAGGCTGAGCTAGAGGCTCGCATGCTGGGATGGGAAATGGGGGGCAGGGCAGCGAATGAGCAGGACCTGAGAGCAGATAGAGCCCCTGTGTATCAGATGCCTCCCTGGTGAGTGCTCAGGGAGGGTCACCGCCATCTGCCCTGCAGCTTTCCCAAGGCTGCTCTCCATGGGGTCTCCAGAGGGAGGTCTCCTCCGGCAGGCCCCTGACCCTGACCCCTCTGCCCTGCAGGTGAACAAAGAGATTGTCTGTGGCCTGAAGTATTTGCATCATACCTACAGGAAAGGCTTGAAAGGTGAGTCTGCACCTTGGCCTGGCTGGTCTCCAGGTCTTGCATGGGGCTCCGCGGGGGGCTGGTCATGTGGCGCTCGGCAGTGTGATATGGGGTGGGGGTACTCCTGGTGCCGGTCAAGCGTTCTAGCCCCACCCTCGGCCCCGAGTCACCACAGGCATTTAATGCTCCCCCCCTCCACACACTGTTGCCACCTGGTGTCTGCTCCTGAGCATTCGCCCCTGTTCGTGCTGACGGCTCCCCCTTCTCTCTCTGTGCCCAGTGGATAAAGACGTCTACATGATGGGCAGCTATGGACCCCGCGCCGAGGAGTACGAGTTCCTGACCCCCCCGGACGAGGCCCCCAAGGGCGTGCTGGTGCGGGGCACCTACCACATCAAATCCTTCTTCACTGACGACGACAGAACGGACCATCTCTCCTGGGAGTGGCACCTCTGTATAAAGAAGGACTGGAAGGATTGAAGCCCTCCCCTCCTCCCCATCCTCCCCCATCCAGACTAACTTTAACATGAATTAGGGGCAAACGAGCCTTACTGCAAACACAAGGGCTCTGGTGCCGCTTCCCGGGTCTAGCCAAGTCAGGCAGCCGAACAGGGCACCATGCCCCCCCGCTCTAGTGCTTTTCTCCCCTCTGCCATCTGCAGCCGCGTCCCCACCATAGTACATTACCCCAAGCAGGCTGCTGAGCCCTAGTGTGAGCCAGTCCCTCCCCTGCCCACTCCCTGTTCTGTGCCTGTCTTTACTTTGTTAAGGACTAGGGAGTGCAGGACTCCCCCTCCCTAGACTCTGCTGCTACCCAGTGGGCCCCTCTCGGTGTTGAGCCCAGCTCCCCTCAGCATGGCACAGGGCTCACTGTGCCCCCAGCTGCGGGTATTAGGGCCTCCTGCCACTTTCACAAGGTTCTTCCAAACAGCCGCTCCCAAAGATCACCACCACGCCCCTGCCATTGCTCGTGTCTCAGCGTTAGCGTTGCAGTGCTGGCAGGGTGCCTTGCATCAGCCTTGCAGTGCCCTGCGGGAGCTCCCTGAGCCTGAGAAGCAGCCGGAGGGTTTACTGGCTTAGCCCAGCCCCCCCCATTGATGGCTGTGTATGTGAAGTCCCTGTCTGTCTGCCTCTTGAGAGATCACGGCGGGAGCTGCTGTGCCACCCTTAGCGTGGAGCTCTGTGCTGCCCGTTCTGGCCATGCCGCTTGCCTCACTCCACTCATTGCAAGCCCTCCCCTTGCCACACAACCAGCCCCAGCCTCTAACAAAGCCCAGGGCCCTTTGCATTTGATTCAAATGAAGGTGGCTCACCCTTTGGGGGTCAGACTCCCAGGGCGGGGTCAGGGTTAGTTTTCATTGCTGGGGGGTATTTTGAATACTGACTGTCCGGCGTTTCCACCGCTGGCTCTGTAGTGAGTGAATGAGTCACAGCTCTGGGTGAGGGTGTCCTGGTTGTGTAAAGGGCTGTGCCAGCTCACAACTCTGTGCCTGCCGGCCCCATGGCCTGTGCTCTGTGCTGGGCCAGTGTAGTCCTGAAGGGTGCCCCGAACGCGTCTGTACCGGCCCTTCCTCACCTGTCCCACTGATACCCCTGGCTGTGCTCTTGGTCATTACCATTAAACGTTACCGCCTCTCTTTGACTTACGCCCGTGTACGCCTGTGCTTCGTTCACGTGCCAGCTGGGTGGATGGGGGTGCTATTTACAACGCAGAACACTGCCTCCCTTCCCCTCAGTTACCAGCAGCGAACAGGGGCACCTGTGCTGGGGGTGCCAGGGAGCGCAAGGTTCACAGGCAATCTATAGACAAGGGAGCACATGGCTCCGGTCCCTGCCTTTGGGATAGAGCAGCCTGGAGAGCTACAGGTCCCAGCAGGCAATGCAGCCTGAGGGCCGTACCCCTCTGTTCCTTAATGAAGCTCCAAAATGGATGCTGTTAAGGACAGTCTGGACCCCAAGCTGCATTTTACCCCACCCCAGAGCAGACTCTTGGGTGATTGCACCCCACAGAGCAGGCATGGGGGGATCATTCCACACGCACACAGCCAAGGACCTGTCCTCAGGGCGGGGTCTGCTGGGGTTTGGTCATGACCCGCTCTTCTGCCAGGCTGCTGGCCAAGTGTGTGGGTGCCAGCTGGCCGTGGCTGGCCTCAGCTGCCCCAAGCTGTGTTCCCAAATCCCAGGACTGGCCCCGCACCTGGGGACAGGGATTTTAAATAAATGTTGGCCTTCTGCCTTCGAGCCTTCAGGCTGTGGGCTCTGCTGTGGTGGCTCCCTGCTGCGTCTGGTGCTGTCTCCCAGCAGCTCAGGGAGCCTGCTCACGTCCCTGCAGGGCCCCCGAATCGCACCAGTAACACCACAGGAGTGAATGGCTGTTAGCATCGCCCTGAGCCATCAGCCAGCTCCAGCACCAGTTCCACTGCACCCTGGGCGCAGGTGCCAGCTGCAACTGGCCCCCAGGGCCTCTGCTGCCCAAAGCGACCCAGGCACGTGGGCACGGTGAGGCTGAATGTTCCACCAGTGCCTTCCTGTGAGGGTACCTGGCTGTTACCCCTGACAGCTGCCCATCCTGCTGTCAGCCCACCCCAATGTACCCCTGCCTTAGGCCCTGGCCATTGCTACCATAGGTTAAAGCCCTCTGCCTGGGCCACAGCTGACACTCTATTGGAAAAGTCTCTTTGTCCAGACCTGGGACACTGCTCCCCCTCCCCCCATCCAGGCCCGGGGCAAGTGTGGTAGGAGCTGCGCCCAAGGGAGGGTGCCAGAGGATCTGCACCCAGGGGAGGGTGTCAGGGGATCTGTGCCCAAGGAAGGGTGCCAGGGGCTCTGCGTCCAAGGCAGGGTGCCAGGGGATCTGCACCCAGGGGATCTGCGCCCAAGGAAGGGTGTTAGGGGATCTGCTGCCCAGCCCCAGGGCAGAATGCAGTGGGAGCTGGCCTTTGCCATTCACAGTCCCCAGCCAGGGCCTGAGAACTGGGCTGGAAAACAGCTTGTGCAGCCACCTGCTCGTTCCTGGCTGGACGCCTTATCTGAGGCCGATCAGCCAGTAACAAAGGGACACGAGCGCCATGGGCCAGGCGCCACCCGCTCCTCCGTGCCCTTATCTGCCCCCCTCGCCTCAAGAACGCCTTCTCCTGCTGGCGGCTGGTGCACTGCTTGCCTGCTCCCCGCGCTGTCACCATGGGCTGCTCCAAATCCCAGCTGCTCGTAGTCCTGCTGCTGTCGCTGGCCTGGCTGGTACCCGCTTGGGGAGAAGACAAGGAAGCCCAGGTCGAGGAAGGGGTGGTGGAGGAGGAAGAGGAGGATGTCGTCTCTGATGAGCTCCTGGAGGAAGAGGGTGTCTTGGTGCTCCATCAGCACAACTTTGAGCGAGCCCTGCGTGAGCACCGCCTGCTGCTGGTGGAGTTCTGTAAGTTGGCGGGGGGGAGGCGAGGCAGCTCAGACCAGGCAGCGGGTACCAGCAGCAGCATGGGCCATATCCCCAGCCAGCCACCCAGCTGGGCTCACGGCAAACCTTGTGCGCTGTCACTGAGTAGCCGTGGAGCCCTGGGGCAGGGGCCCCAAGGATGCCTGATCCATTCTGGGGTTAGGCATGTGCATTCCCTGCTGGTCACTGGCTCTTGGGAGCACTTGCTAAGGGGATGGTGGCCGCAGCTGTCAGCGCAGGTGCTTGGCCCTGTCAGCTGCCAGTGGGACCCTGGGCATCTGTGCTCCGAGTGCCAAGGAGAGCAAACAGTGGCTGCCCTGTGCTTGGCTGCCCTTCAGCACAGGGCTCAGGTGGTGGCTTTCCCACAGGAAGGGTGTCCTGGCCTGAGAGAGGAAACACTGGCTGGTTAAACATTAATGTGCAGGCAAAGTTGTGCCCAAGGCCCAATGACCCCCCCCCTAGGGCCACAGGAGCCGGGGACTGGAAGAGTGGCACAAGCAAAGCCACAGAGCCATAGCCATGATTAGACCCAGGCAAGCACCATCATGAGCCTGCCAGGGTTTCCCCTGGGCACAGCTCCAAACGCTCTTTCTGGACACAGAGCCTATTGCATTCTCTCCTGTCCCCTGGCTGCAGAGCCCAACATGTGCTCTCCAGGGCCTGGGTGCAGATCCTGCCATGTTCTCTCCTGGGCACAGATTCCAATGCGCGTTCTCCAGGGCCTGGGTGCAGAACCAGCAACGCTGTCCCTGGGGCCTAGATGCAGAGCCCTCCTCCCCACCATTTAGTCTGGGGCCTCCACGCTAGTCACTGCCTCAAGCAGCTCTGCTGGGAGCTCCTTGCTCAAGTGCATGTGGGCAGGCGGGTTGTGGCTCTGCTCTGGCTGGATGCCGGCATCCCCCACAGGGCCTAGCTTCAGAGCCAGAGGCCGTGAAGTGACCCGCATGGCCTGGCTCACAGTGTGGCATGGCACTCCCAAATATGGCTCCATGGGGGTCCCGGCCGGCCAGGGTCCCAGCATACTGGCTGTGTGTGAAGGGGCCAGGGCTGCCCAGCTGGGCACTGCTGCCTCTGGTGCCAGGCCCAGGCTGCTCTTTAGGCCAAGCTATTTGGGGGGGGGGTCACCCTTGCTGGGAGTCTGTGACCCCACAGGGAAGCCCCGTAGCCCTGAGGGGGCCTGTCCCGAGTCACAGGCCAGGTGCAGTGAATGGGTCCAGCTTCAGTGTCCCCAGGCCTTGTTGTGAATTGGGGCCAGAGCAGGGCCATGGGGGAGGGAGGGGGTGCGTGGCACCAGGCTGAGTGTCCGCATGGAAAGGAGCCATAGCACCCCCGGGAAGCAGAGTGAGCACATTTCGGGGGGTGGGACAGAGCCAAGGGAGCCTTGGAAGCGCAGGCATGTCCCCCACCTTAGGACTGGCCCACAGCGTGTGCTGACAGCAGGAAGGGACCAGCCAACACAACACCCAACAGCATGGGATCCCCCCGACAGCCCTGCCGAGCGGCACCGTCCCACCCTGTTGGGTGGCATAGGGGGCCAGCAAAGAGGGCAGAGCACATGGGAATGAGAGGCAGGCCAGGGTGGGTTGTGCTTCCAGGCCCTGCAGCAGGCTGCGTAGCCTCAACACTGCCCCAGTGGGAACCCTGCCCTCCAGGTGGCTGTCAGATGGGCACTGCCCTCCTGGCAGAGCCAACCACAACCATTAACCTGCTAGGGTGACAGCTGGGCCAGGCTGGGCAAACCTGGGCTGTTTCAAGGGGCAAGTCTATGCGAAGCCCCCTGCCCCACTCTGGGTGCTCATGCCATCCCTCTCCCAGCCCCCAGCAGGCCTCAGGCTGTGACAGTGACCCCTGCTGGACTCTGCCCTGATTGACCCAGGATTGGGAGTGGTGGGGCAACAGAGCTTGTGGTGGTGGAGCCCCCGGAAGGATTTCAGCCGGGAGGAGGAGGGGGGGCAGGGTAGGATGCTGGGGGCTGCTCCAGGCAGAGCTGGGGGGTCTCACTGCTCAGCCTGCCCCTTTCTCACAGATGCCCCCTGGTGCGGGCACTGCCAAGCCCTGGCCCCCGAGTTCACGCGTGCCGCTGGCATCCTGAAGAATGACTCCGCGGGCCTGCGGCTGGCCAAGGTGGATGCGATGGAGGAGACGGACCTGAGTGCCGAGTTTGGTGTCACAGGGTACCCAGTGCTGAAACTCTTCCGAGACGGGAATCGCACACACCCCATAGATTTCACAGGTACAGCCTGACACTGCTCGGGGGTCCCTGCTCTAGAGCACGGTGTGGCTGGGAAGGAGCCTTACCCAGCACAGCCTTGGGGTGTGGGGTGGTGGTGTGGCGAAGGGGCTGTGGGGGA